GGCGTCACACTGGCGAGCCTTCAGTCATCAGATACAAACCTGTAGTGCCTCTGTACTACTCTAGCTACAGCAGCAGTATAAGTTAGGCTGCCCAGAGTTTCACGCTGCTATCGGTAAGACTCCTCCTTCAGAAAAGCTATCTGCTATAGGCTTTACCCTGTGCTGCAGTCGGTTGTATACTGATTATTGCTGACTTCAAGCATTCAAAATTAGGAGCCAATAGGACTGGCGGACTCCATAGCTTAAGTATGGGCCGCTGCTTTCCTGATTTGCAGTGGAATTAGCCTGGTGGTAGGATCCACAGCACCTCCCTTTAAATGGCTGCAGTGCCCCCGAGGGTACAACAGAGGTATCGTCATACCCAAGGGTTTGACCTTGAAGATGGCCGATCGTGTTTCGTTACAGGTGGTTGTTGGCAGATCGACAAAGCAGCAGCAAATTAAAGTTTCTCAGAACACCATTATCATTTGCTGAACTACTTTGTGTTATTACAAGAATGGAAGGAGAAACTAACAACACACAATAAACATTCTCTGCTGAATAAAATGTTGATGATAACAATGCTATTCAGTCTCAAGAACAACAGAGCACTGGAAACACATGGCCCTGGAGATTTGCAAACCTTCCACTCAACTCCAGTTCTCAAAAGAAAACAAGCTCAGATGGCCCTTAAGAAAAAGTAAATGAACATGCAGTGTGCTTCCTTGCAAAAATCGATGACCAACTTTGTTACTTATGCACAGGCTGCAACGTAAGCTGCAACACATGACAATGCTGTAGGCCCTCACATAAGCAATACAGTGCCAAACACCAAGTGATTTCAGTTGCCCAGCCAAGTAGTTGTTATGGTCTAATTCACTTCTCCACGCATTGTCTTAAATACAATGGGTGTTTACACTAAAATTAGTATTTTTGCTAAACCAAGTAAAAGTTCTTCCCTGCACAAACCATCCACCCTCCCCACAGTTTGCTTGCCTCTGCTAGTTGCCACACAGCTGTTCCTTCTTGAAACATGTGACACCTGCAAATGGCCTGTCTCCCCACACTTTAGTCTTACATATCTGAAATTCTGTCCTGTTAGGACACGTACATTTTATGGGAGAAGCGCTAGGACACAGTAGATGCATCACACTGCTGAGCAGCCTTAGGATACTTCAGTGAGATGAGACTGTGGCCATAGCCTCTGAAATAAAGAGGAGTCAGCATGCTGGTCAAGTTTGCGCACAAAAGCATTTATGACTTCTTGGAAAGAATCAGATTCTGCAGTTAAGTTCCAGAACTGATAATTTTATTCTGCCAGACAAAATGTTCTCTGTAATTTAGCTGGACAAGAAATTTCTTTGTCTTTAGTGATGTTGACTTTCAGCTGTTACATAGCTATGTTTCAGTGGTAAATGAGAGCTTCCCTATACACTTAAACAAAAATAAAAGGTCAGATGGTTGTAAGAGAACTAATTACACAAATCTCTGTATGATTTCTACACATTTGACAAGCCTTTCACATATGCATACAAAGTTCCTATACTTATATTAAGATAGTTCTACCGCACATTTTAGAACATTTTTAAACAGCAATTAATGCAGCATCACAAAACTCCTCACACTTTCATACATTAATATTTCTGATATAATAGGCATAGGGAGATTATTTGATCAAGGTCCAGTACATCCATGACAGAGACAGCATGTTTAATCCTATGCCACAATTCAGCTCTCATACCCGGTCTTCTCCTGCAGCATGTTTTTTCAAGAGTTTACACAGCAAACTATTCCCTCTGCTAATGAATTAAAGTTAATAAAACCATAGTAGCCTTGAAGACTTCTGGTGCAAGTGCATGTAAAAGCCCATGTCTTTTTGATCTAAAAAGTTCTTCTACTACAGGTGCACCAAATGCTGCAATACATGCATCAGCCTACATGAAGAACTTGCATGATTTATTTTGTACACAATCTATTTCAACAGAAGTAAGGATCCAGCTACTCAAGGGACTATCTTGTCTTTGTTAATTAAATAAAACCAATCAAGGAAAAGCACAAGATTTAAATCTAATAAGCATTCTTCTTGACCATCTTGAAAATAAGGAAGAGCCAGATGCAGATAATGCATGCAAATTCTGGATTTGTTACTTTCTGGCAGTTCTTTGTTCTAACAACAGCACCTGTATTACAGCAGTTCACAGAGCAGGAGGTGAAATGGTGGAAAAGAAATCACACTTGCTGCCTCAGGTGGATTGGTCTGCCTGGCCAGCTAATGATGCAACAGTGCCTTCTTCCCTTCTACAGTCTCTGCAAATGCAAAATATTCCTGATACTTAAAAATAAAGACACCTTTGAAGAATGAGTTAACTTTGAGTAACTTTAAATTGCACTGCATAAAGACTATTATAACAAGTTAATTTTATGTGTTTCCTCATTTACTATTGTTAAAGAACTACTTTGACATGAAAATTGCTTAGAATCTGAGATAGGAGAGGTTTAAGTCACTTGACAGTATGATCTATTTCTTTTGAACAGAAAGCCAAGGTTACTCTACAGAGCAGTTATCCAGCATCCAGTTGTTTTTTCTTAAACATAGCATCAGTGCAAGTTTAAGGACACACCTTTGTCACCATTTCTGCAGTGTTATGGAAAGGATTATGTCTAAGCACCCTCTAGAGCACAAATTGGAAGGTGTAATCTTTTTTCCACGAAGTTCCCAGGAAAATATGATGCCTTACCTTGTGGTTACCAGATGCAAGGTGAAATGGAAGCCAGAAGGAGTATTACTTCCTACAATGGTTCTGACATTGCTTCAATGTCACAACTAGAAATCAGTTGTGAAACATCTATTAACTTACTGGCACCCACAGGGAGAAAATAAGGTATGCAAGGAATCAAAGGTGCCAATTTGATGCTCCATGAATGTGTTCACGCATACCCTGAAGCGCCCATTTTGGCAAGGCCCGATAGATCCATAAACCAGAATCCCTCTGATTATCTCTGCCTCCTGAAAGCCACTCAACTTTAAGCTCTTCGCAAGATATTGCAATGGCCACCATCTTTTAAAGTCTATCCTTGGAAGACCTTGTTACTTACAGAACAACTGCTGAGTTCACTCAGGACTAGAAAACCTGCAGTCAACTTACTCTCCCCTTCTATCTCAGTGCTTTCAACTGCAAGCATTTTTCCCCCACACATGGATGCCAGATAACACGCTCGAAGTTTTAAAGAGTGCTTTTTATCCCTGTAAACCCTTCAGAACATTACTATCTCAGTAAAAAGGTACCTCATTTCTTGGTAAATACCAGAGCAATACTTTGAAAACAGACATTGAGCTTCCTTTCAGAATAGCTCTGAAGTGTAGGCTGTTTTGTCTCCATCTAATTTTCAGTACAGCTGCTGTTAGGAGCAAGAACACCCCACCTTTTCTTTATAAGCCAGTAAATGTATTTCTAAAAGAGACTGTCTAATACTTTCTACTTAAGCTCTTATCTATACATCTTGGAAAAGGCTCCCTTAAAAGACAGAGGCAATTATTTAAAACACACTGAAAAGCATAAGTCTAACTAAACTTTAGATCTTGACTCTTATTACCTATTCTTGACTTTCTGAAGCCTCACCAACAGCACACAAGTTCTATTTTGCTTTCCTTATCCACCAAAACCACCCTATTCTCCAGAATTCTGCAAATCTAAGGAGTTAAACTGCCCAAGCACTCCCTAAAAAACTTGAAAGCTTCCATCTAAAGTAGTCACAGTAGACTTAAACCTAGAACTAGCCATTCCCACTTAAATAAGAGTCTGGTTTGGTAAGGCAAAGATTTATTTATCAATTTTCACGTATCATGTCATATCAACTGATAAGATATTTACACAACAGTTTGAAATACACAGTATTTGCATTTTATACAAGCAACTAAGTGCAGCCTGTAGTAAGTTCTCTATGCAGTAGCCAGATACTCCCACTGCTACATAATTCCAGTTAAAAACCAACATCTGTAATGCTTCCACAAGAGTTTCTATACCTGAGAAGTTTTAGTATATCCTTTCAAGAGGAAGTCTGCAATTAAAAGCCACATACATAACCCCATTTAAAGGTTGTCATTCTAGTTGCAAATTATTTGCTTCCTTTGAAGCAAGATCTGATACACTCTCCCTTAAGCCACACGATACTTGTGATGGCCCTTCTTCAGAAGCGCTGTCTGCATCATCTCCACAGTTAAGCTCTTCATTTTCTTCTTTGGATTCCTCTAGAGCCAGGCTCTTCAGTGTCTCAAAATTGTCAGGTGCTTGCCCAGTTAGCCTCTAGAAAGAAACAGCAGACAGTGAACTTAATACTTTTTCTACATAATAGCCAGTGAAATAAGACTGTGCATATTGAATTAAGCAAACTAATTATCTTCATTTGGAGATTGTTGATATAATTAAAACATTCCTCAGTCACAAAAGTTTTAGACACTTGAGTTCAACTCAAATTGCTACCTCTAACTCACAGACCACATCTGTTTTGTTGACTGTCAAGTCTTCCTTTGGTTCTTCATAGGACAGGTTCCATCTTAGGCAACCTAAAATCTGGGAAACAGCTTCCCAAGTTCAATACTACTATAGTACTATATAGGTTTATTTTTAGAAAAATTACTATACAACAGATTAAGTTCACAATTTTTAATCAGAGATAAGCTATATTAAGTCTAGATGAACTAAAAGACCCAGCAGTTCCTAGCACTTGATGACGAAAAAAGTTCCTCACCTAACCTGATCTAAGGAAGAAAAACAGGACCGTAAGAGGCTGCTTTTGAGGCTTCTGGTTGTTTGGTGTATCACTTATGGCTCTTCAAAGCCTCAGAAGTGACCAGCTTACAACCAATAAGTGAACTTAACTGTTGAGGAACTGCAGAAAGTTTCCAATTACATTAGTTCTTTAAGTCCTTATGTTATTTAATTTCTGCCTGTAGGTTTATCACCAACAAGCAGCACTCCCTGAATACAAAAAAAAAAATTCAAGTGTAGCAAATTAGTGGAGTCTCTCAAGAGTGATCTAAATAATTGCATTAACTGAAAATTAAATTGATCAAGTTTACTTCTTGATTAATCAAGTTGCTTGCAATAATCTTCCATTTTGTTTCCACCTCCCCAGTCTAATCAGAGACTCAAAATACTTGCCAGGTACCCAGCTTTATATCCCAGTTGAGAGCTCAATCCCTACAAAAACAACCTAGCTGATAATTTTAGTATCAAGGTTCCATGCTATATATTTATCACAGCTTCAGAGGCTGTTACAGACAATCTACTCCTGGTAGAGGAGTCATGGAATCAGTGACACAACTAGCTGTCCCCAAGCAATTCTCAGAGGAAGCTGTTTCGAAATTTACAAGTTTATGAACCCTACAGACTTTGTTCAGTAGCCCTTTTTGGGCCACAAAACTGGCAATTCCTCAGTGAAACCTTGACTTTAAAGAGCATAGGTGCTCCCTTCTCCCTCTCACTGCTCCACTTTGGGTGTCCCTGTTTCAAGTTTAGTTCCTCAAAGGACACAGCCAGTAAAACACTTCATTTAGGCAGCAACCTCACACAACCTATTAAGCATTTGAATTTGTTATCTCAAAAGTGAAAATGAACCCTTTCTTGTCACCATCTAACATGCAAAGCCTGTTCTGTTAGAGACAATAGGTTGAATCTTCCCTTCAGAAAACATCACTCCTAGTACTTTCTCATTACTCCTGTAGGTTCAAAGGTGGAAAAACACATCCCCTAAAACAGGCTTTATGCCTCTGGATTAGAGCAATCCCACAGGAAACAGGTCAGACAGCAATTTAAAATGAAGACTTGTGTTTTGTGTGCTCACACAACTCATGATTCATTAAAAGTATCTTTGCTGGTTTCTCACTTTTTCATTTTACAACATTAACTGAAAATTCCTTTAAGTACCTCAATTATGCTGGTCATATAATGCACATGTTCAGCAAGGGACATTAGCTCTTCGTTTTCTTCTTTTAGGCAGGCAATTTCACCATCTTTCTGTTCAATTTCTTTGTGCAACTGAGTTCAAATAACAAAATGTTAAAACAGGAAGACAACAGCCAGTGGTAAAGAAGTTCATTTCTTTCATTAGCTACCTTTTCATTTTCTTGAAGCACTTCATAAAGAGCCTTCCTCCTTTCTTCAGCCACTTCTTTCCAATACTGAGATGAAGGACTTCCTGAAGTAAGAAGCTACAGTTAGTCTGTGCTAAGACTGAATTCTTGAGATCACCTTAGATATCTAAATTTTGTATACAAGTGTTCTATGAACTGTGATAATAAGAACACACTCCATATAGTGTTTTCCCAGAGATCAGTTGTATATCTACAACTAGAGACAGAAGCTTACAGAAAACAGACATGCTACACTGCATTGATGGCTATACAGGCAGAATCTTCAAGAAGCTGCCTCAAGCATGGCAGCAGGCTTTGCAAGATGGTCACATTTGCAAATGTCAGTCTTAATGTGTACTTTGTGGAAGACAGAAGTCTTATTCCCCAGTCACTGTCCATATTGGGCTTAATGGTTCTGAGAAACTGCACACACAGCATACTATGCCAAAAGAGGCTTTCATTTCACCTTAATTATTAGTTACTTGAAAGCTCGTAGCCAAGCCAAAGTAACAAACTACAGGACTTCTTAACACTGCTGCACACAATGGCTCTCAGCTACTGGTTACCATAAACTCATTCTTAAATGTTAGATAACTATACTGTATTTACTGTACTATACAGTACAAAATTGTACAAAGCCCTTATCTAACTGACAAAGGAAATGTGTTTCAAGTTATATTCCAATGGGAGTATAGCATTTTAAGTGCAAGAAAACGTTTCAGGAATTACCACATACCTTTTGTCATGAGATCTACAGCTTGAATGACATCATTCATATTCTCATTTTCCTGCTCCTTATCCACAGACACCTCAGCTTTACAAGCCTTTGAGGTGAACTTGTTATTCCAGAGTTTCCTTTTGACTGAAGATTTCTTCTGCATAAAACACAGGCAGGTTTAACTTCAGAGCAACATTTCAGCTGTTTTAAAAATACAGACTTCTAAGTCTGCTCACTCATGACTGCAGATAGGTCTTTATAAGCCCCACTTTCTTCACATTATAGTTCTAGTTTACAAACATCTTCCTTGAAACCATAGGTTTAACAAAAGAAACATCTCAAACATCATCCTAAAGTACTCAGAAATTGCTAGTTTTAATATTGTTTATTACTAAAATAATAGTAAGCTTAAGTTGTGTCACACTAGTTAGCGGATTATGTTTTTTTCAAATACATTAGTTTTCAGTTAAAAGCTCAAAAGCCTTTCACGATGAGTAGAAATAATTACATATCTACAAGTTATCTTTTAATTCATACCTCATTACGTCTGCCAACCAGGCAACCTGTTGCTGAAGGCTGAATCATTTTAAGAGTCCGTCTTGGGGCAGCACTGCATGTGGTGTCTGTGAGGTACTTCTAAAAAGACAAATACGGCTTCAGACAGTTGCCACGCTTCTCTACGTAAACTGAAACTTAGGAATTTCTCATGCTTCCATTAAGGTAACCCATCTTTTCAACACAAAAAGATGATACTTCAGTCTATATTAAGGCTTGTGTAAAGAAGGGAATCTAGTTATTTGTAGCAGAGGTGGATCTTAATCACATGAAGCTATGCTCAGACCCTACCTCTTAGAAAACCCTTACCCTTCATAAAGGCACTTGAACAGGTCTTATAGCAGAAATATTCTGACTAGATTTCAAGGCCAGTTACAGTGCAGTGACACATGTAAACCTTAGCTGAAGTTAGCAAAGTTGTATTTGACAGCAGCAGTATCAGACTTTGGGGGACAGAGACAAAAGTGACTGCAATTGCAAGCTTATGTAGTAAAGTCACACACATCGCTTCAGGCAGTACCTGTTTTTGTTACCTGTGAACACACCCTCAAGTAGTGTTCATTTAAATAGATATGTTGCTTCAATTATCTATTAAAATAGACCTAAAGCTTCCTTGCTTCAATCCAGACAGGCTATTGTTTTGTATAAACAGTATGTTTATCACCTTTCCTGTCATGCATAAATACCCATTTCCTGCATTAAAGCTTTCTGATTGGGTTGGTTACACTGCCACCATGGGATAGCAAACAATGGCAGACAACCAAGCAAGAATAGCCAGAATACAATGCCACACCAGCGTGAGAAAGTTACCGATTCACACTGTACTTCATATGACAAGAGTTCGCCTTTCCCACGGTAGTTTCTGCCACCAATTATCCTACTGTTGAACTAAAGGACAAACACTAACTGCTGTGGGAACAAGAATCACACCGTGTGTCAGACACTGCTTGCTGCTATTGAAGGTTAGAGTTAAGCATACTCTGCCAAGAAATTATTGACTAATACTTGAGTTAACCCACTGAAAGTGCAAAAAGCCACACTGAGGAATTTATACCCTAGAGTCACTATAGGACAAGATTACCATGTGAATTAAGTCAGACTTATTGGCAATTTTCATTAATACCAGAAATTTTTGTTACCATTGCTCTATACCTCATTACAGAGGGCTAGTAGCCTCTATTTTAGATGGTATTTGTACAATTCCGACTAGGGCCTACACTAAAAGGTTTAACAAGAAAGTCTTGATACAAGACTAGAGTAGATATAAACTTTAGTAACTTATCAGTCACCTCTTAAAAACCTAAATCCATTAAGCATCTCCATCAATTCCAAGCCAACTATGGTTCATGAGGGTGACTTTAGAAACAGAACTGCCTGCATGAATACTTCAGTTAAAGCATGGTCAAGTCATGACAGATTTAACTCTTAGTAAGTTCATCCCTACAAAGGGCAGACTACAAAACCTACTCTACAATCCCTTAGCCAGACTGATTCAGTAACCAAACTAAGGCAGGTAGCCAGCACCTAAAAAAAAAAAATAATCACATGGAAAGACAGCAAGCTCAGTGTCAAAATAAAAAGGACTTGCTGAGCAATAAGAAAAAAGTAGTCATAAGCACATATGCCCAAGCAGGACAGAGTGTTCCAAAGCCATACTGCCTGCCAGGAGGTTACTCAAGCCAAAAGGACATAAGCCAGGTGGAAGCACATTGCAACAGATCCCTTTGTATTCCTTCAGTGGATATAAAACTTGTGTCAGACAGAGGGACCATTTCCCAGAGAACTGAGCGCAAAGCCTCAGAACAAAGCAAATTCTGTGTTTGAGATACTCTTGATAAATTTAATCTTCTATTTTCTATTCCTTATCTGCTCCCATATTCTAGCTTCAAGACTTTAAAGCTTATACCTGCAAAGATCCTGATGATTTTTCTGCATTCAGTTTCTGTTTCATTTTGGAATTCATAGGATCACTGCAAAAAAAAAAAAAAAAGTAAAAAATTAGTAACATCCGGCTGCAACTGAAGTTCCGGGACACTAGTCACAGAATATTACAATTTCAGTTTATCAACTTTTACGACAGCATTAAAAATTCAGTTATGAATCGCGTGGTCAGCAGGCTCTTCCAGGGTTCCTCCCCGAGATATGAGCTGCAAGGGCGCTAGAAAGGCAAAGCCCCGAGGGGACATCCCGTGCCGCTGACACCAGCGCTGCCACACTAGCCTACCACGGATTACAGCCCCGTTAAGCCTTTCCACAGCGATGGTGGGGGGTGTCACAGACGCACACCCAAAATGGCGGGGGGGAA